AAAATCCCCAAATGTCCCAAAAATTCCCCAAAAATGTCCAGAAATGTCCCAAAAATCCCCCAAATGTCCCAAAAATGCCCCAAAAATGCCCCAAATTTCCCCAAATATCCCCAAAAATGCCCCAAATGCACAAAAATGCCCCAAAATTGCCCCAAAAATGCCCCAAAATTGCCCCAAAAATGCCCCAAAATTGCCCCAAACGCCCCAAAAAATCCCCAAAATTCCCCAAATTCCCGATTTTTCCCCCGGGAATTCCCGGGCTGTCCCCAAAATGTCCGGAATTGTCCCCAAATCCAGGGAAATCCATCTGGGAGTTGGTGGTGGAGCAGTTCGAGGATCTCCTGGTTCGGATCCTGCTCTTGGCCGCCTGCATTTCCTTCGTGAGTGCCCGAAATGCCCCGAAACGACCCAAAATGACCCGAAATGACCCCAAAATGGCCCGAAATGACCCCAAAATGGCTCGAAATGACCCCAAAATGGCCCGAAATGACCCAAAATGACCCAAAATGACCCCAAAATGGCTCGAAATGACCCCAAAATGGCCCGAAATGACCCAAAATTGCCCCAAAATGACCCAAAATGGTCAAAAATGGACCCAAAATGGCCCCAAAATGACCCAAAATGGCCCAAAATTGCCCCAAAATGACCCAAAATGGTCAAAAATGGACCCAAAATGACCTAAAATGACCCAAAATGACACAAAATGACCCAAAATGGCCCAAAATTACCCCAAAATTACCCCAAAATTACCCCAAAATGGCCCCAAGTGGCCCAAAATTGCCCCAAAATGACCCAAAATGGTCAAAAATGGACCCAAAATGACCCCAAAATGGCCCGAAATGGCCCAAAATGACCCAAAATGACCCAAAATGACCCAAATGATCCAAAATGGCCCCAAAATGACTCAAAATGAACCAAAATGACCCAAAATGACCCGAAATGGTCAAAAATGACCCAAAATTGCCCCAAAATGACCCAAAATGGCCCAAAATGACCCCAAAATGACTCAAAATGACCCAAAATGACTCAAAATGATCCAAAATGGTCAAAAATGACCCAAAATGACCCCAAATTACCCCAAAATTACCCCCAAATGAACCAAAATGACCCAAAATGTCCCCAAAATGAACCAAAATTACCCCAAAACGACCCGAAATGACCCCAAAATGACCCCAAATTACCACGAAATGACCCAAAATGGCCCCAAAATGACCCAAAAAGACCCAAAAAGACCCAAAATTGCCCCAAATGAACCAAAATGACCCAAAATGACCCAAAATTGTCCCAAAATGACCCAAAATTACCCCAAATGAAGCAAAATGACCCAAAATGACCCAAAATTGTCCCAAAATGACCCAAAATTACCCAAAATGGCCCAAAATGACCCAGAATGACCCAAAAAGACCCAAAATGACCCGAAATGACCCCAAAATGACTCAAAATGACCCAAAATGACTCAAAATGATCCAAAATGGTCAAAAATGATCCCAAAATGACCCCAAAATGGCCCAAAATGACCCAAAATGACCCAAAATGACCCAAAATGACCCAAAATGGCCCAAAAAATCCCCAAAATGACCCAAAATGACCCAAAATTACCCCAAAATGACCCCAAAATTACAAAAAATGGCAAAAAATGGCAAAAAATGGCAAAAAATGGCAAAAAATGGCAAAAAATGGCAATTTTGGGGTTTTTTTTTTTCAGGGTTTTTCCCGGATTTTTCCTGGATTTTTTCCAGGATTTTCCCGGATTTTTTTGGGGTGAATTCCCGGGATTTTGGGGATTTTGGGGGGGAATTTTTTGTACATTTTTTGTTCATTTTTTGTTCATTTTTTGCCAATTTTTTGCCAATTTTTTGCCCATTTTTGTCCAATTTTTTCCGTATTTTTCCCGCATTTTTCCCAAATTTTCCCCGATTTTTCCCGGATTTTTTTGGGGTGAATTCCCGGGATTTTGGGGGGAATTTTTTGTTCATTTTTTGTTCATTTTTTGCCCATTTTTTCCCCATTTTTTGCCCATTTTTGGCCAATTTTTGGCCAATTTTTTGCCAATTTTTGGCCAATTTTTGTCCAATTTTTTCTGTATTTTTCCCGCATTTTTCCCAAATTTTCCCCGATTTTTCCCGGATTTTTTTGGGGTGAATTCCCGGGATTTTGGGGATTTTGGGGGGGAATTTTTTGTACATTTTTTGTTCATTTTTTGTTCATTTTTTGCCAATTTTTTGCCAATTTTTTGCCCATTTTTTGCCAATTTTTTCCGTATTTTTCCCGCATTTTTCCCAAATTTTCCCCGATTTTTCCCGGATTTTTTTGGGGTGAATTCCCGGGATTTTGGGGGGAATTTTTTGTTCATTTTTTGTTCATTTTTTGCCCATTTTTTCCCCATTTTTTGCCCATTTTTCCCCATTTTTTGCCCATTTTTGGCCAATTTTCGGCCAATTTTTTGCCAATTTTTTCCGTATTTTTCCCGCATTTTTCCCAAATTTTCCCCGATTTTTCCCGGATTTTTTTGGGGTGAATTCCCGGGATTTTGGGGATTTTGGGGGGGAATTTTTTGTTCATTTTTTGTTCATTTTTTGGTCATTTTTTCCCCATTTTTTGCCAATTTTCGGCCAATTTTCGGCCAATTTTTTGCCAATTTTTTCCTTATTTTTCCCGCATTTTTCCCAAATTTTCCCCGATTTTTCCCGGATTTTTTTGGGGTGAATTCCCGGGATTTTGGGGATTATTTTTTTTAGGGTCCCTCACCTTTTGTCCCCTCGCTGTCCCCAAGGTCCTGGCCTGGTTCGAGGAGGGCGAGGAAACCATCACGGCCTTCGTCGAGCCCTTCGTCATCCTCCTCATCCTCATCGCCAACGCCGTCGTCGGGGTCTGGCAGGTGAGGGAACGCGCGGGGAATTCCGGGAATTCTTCGGGAATTTTTCGGGAATTTTTGGGGGATTTTGAAGGGAATTTTTTGGGATTTTTTTGGATTTTTTAGGGAATTTTTTGGGATTTTTTGGGGATTTTTTGGGGATTTTTTGGGATTTTTTAGGGAATTTTTTGGGATTTTTTGGGGATTTTTTGGGGAATTTTTGGGGAATTTTTGGGGATTTTTGGGGGATTTTTTGGGGGATTTTGAACGGAATTTTGGCAGAATTTTGGGGATATTTTGGCAGAATTTTGGGGATTTTTTGGGATTTTTTGGGATTTTTTAGGGAATTTTTTGGGAATTTTTTGGGATTTTTTAGGGATTTTTTTTGGGATTTTTTTTTTATTTTTTAGGGATTTTTTGGGAATTTTTTGGGATCTTTTGGGGATTTTTTGGGATTTTTTAGGGATTTTTTTGGGATTTTTTTGGGATTTTTTTGGGATTTTTGGGGGATTTTTTGGGATTTTTTGGGGATTTTTTGGGGATTTTGAAGGGAATTTTGGCAGAATTTTGGCAGATTTTTTGGGATTTTTTGGGATTTTTTGGGATTTTTTAGGGATTTTTTGGGGATTTTTTGGGATTTTTTTGGGATTTTTGGGGGATTTTTTTGGGATTTTTTTGGGATTTTTTAGGGATTTTTTAGGGAATTTTTGGGGGATTTTTGGGGGATTTTTGGGGGGATTTTTTTGGGATTTTTTTGGGATTTTTTTGGGATTTTTTTTGGATTTTTTAGGGATTTTTTGGGGATTTTTTGGGATTTTTTAGGGAATTTTTTGGGGATTTTTGGGGATTTTTTTGGGATTTTTTGGGGATTTTTTGGGATTTTTTGGGGATTTTTTGGGGAATTTTTTTGGATTTTTGGGGGATTTTTTAGGGAATTTTTTGGGATTTTTTGGGATTTTTTAGGGATTTTTATGGGAATTTTTGGGGGATTTTTGGGGATTTTTTGGGGTTTTTAAGGGAATTTTTTCGGGATTTTTTGGGATTTTTTAGGGATTTTTTTGGGATTTTTTGGGATTTTTTAGGGATTTTTTTGGGAATTTTTTGGGATTTTTTGGGATTTTTAGGGGATTTTTAGGGATTTTTTGGGATTATTGGGGGATTTTGGGGGGGATTTTTTGGGATTTTTATGGAATATTTTTGGAATTTTGGGGGATTTTTTAGGGAATTTTTTGGGGATTTTTGGGGATTTTTTGGGGAATTTTTGGGGATTTTTTTGGGATTTTTTGGGAATTTTTGGGGATTTTTTGGGGAATTTTTTTGGGATTTTTGGGGATTTTTTAGGGATTTTTTTTTATTTTTTAGGGATTTTTTGGGAATTTTTTGGGAATTTTTTGGGGATTTTTTGGGAATTTTTTGGGAATTTTGGGGGGATTTTGGGGGGGTCTGGTGTCCCTTGAGGTCTCTCTGTTGTCCCCAATGTCCCCAAATGTCCCCAAAATCCCCCAAAAAATCCCCAAAAAATCCCCCAAAATCTCCAAAAAATCCCAAAAAATCCCAAAAAATCCCCAAAAATCCCAAAAATTCCAAAAAATTCCCAAATATCCCAAAAGTCTCCAAAATGTCCCCAAATCCCTCAAAAAATGTCCCAAAAATCCCCCCAAAAAATCCCCTAAAAATGTCAAAAAATCCAAAAAAAATCCCCAAAAATTCCAAAAAAATTCCCAAAAAATCAAAAAAAATCCCAAAAATTCCAAAAAATTCCCAAATATCCCAAAAGCCTCCAAAATGTCTTCAAATCCCCTGAAAATGTCAAAAAAAATTTAAAAATCGACAAAAAAAATCCCCAAAAAATCCAAAAAAAATCCAAAAAAAATCCAAAAAAAATTCTTAAAAAATCCAAAAAAATCCAAAAAAAATCAAAAAAAATCCGAAAAATTCCCAAAAAATTCCCAAAAATTCCCAAATATCCCAAAAGCCTCCAAAATGTCCTCAAATCCCCCAAAAATGTCAAAAAAAATTTAAAAATTGACAAAAAAATCCTTAAAAAATACAAAAAAATCCAAAAAAAATCCAAAAAAAATCCAAAAAAAATCCAAAAAAAATCCGAAAAATTCCCAAAAAATTCCCAAAATTCCCAAAATTCCCGGAATTGTCCCCAGGAGCGGAATGCCGAGAACGCCATCGAGGCTCTGAAGGAGTACGAGCCCGAGATGGGCAAAGTTTACCCCAAAAATCCTCCAAAAATCCCCCCAAAAAATCCCCTTAAAAAATCCCAGAAAAATCCTAAAAAATCAAAAAAAATTCCAAAAAAATCCCAAAAATTCAAAAAAATTCCCAAATATCCCAAAAGCTTCCAAAATGTCCTCAAATCCCCCGAAAATGTCAAAAAAAAATTAAAAATCGACAAAAAAAATCCTTAAAAAAATACAAAAAAATCCTTAAAAAATCCTTAAAAAATCCTTAAAAAATCCATAAAAAAATAAAAAAAAAATCCAAAAAATCCCAAAAATTCCCAAAAATTCCCAAATATCCCAAAAGTCTCCAAAATGTCCTCAAATCCCCCAAAAATGTCGAAAAAAATTTTAAAATCATCAAAAAAATCCTTAAAAAATCCTTAAAAAATTAAAAAAAAATAAAAAAAAAATAAAAAAAAAATCCAAAAAAAATCCAAAAAAAATCGGAAAAATTCCCAAAAAATTCCCAAAATTCCCAAAATTCCCGGAATTGTCCCCAGGAGCGGAATGCCGAGAACGCCATCGAGGCTCTGAAGGAGTACGAGCCCGAGATGGGCAAAGTTTACCCCAAAAATCCCTCCAAAAATCCCCCCCAAAAAAATCCCCTCAAAAAATCCCAGAAAAATCCTAAAAAATAAAAAAAAAAATCCCAAAAAATCCCAAAAATCCCCAAAAATTCCCAAATATCCCAAAAGTCTCCAAAATGTCCTCAAATCCCCTGAAAATGTCAAAAAAAATTAAAAATCAACAAAAAAAATCCTTAAAAAAATACAAAAAAATCCCAAAAAAATCCTAAAAAATAAAAAAAAAAATCCCAAAAAATCCCAAAAATCCCCGAAAATTCCCAAATATCCCAAATGTCTCCAAAATGTCCTCAAATCCCCCAAAAATGTCAAAAAAAATTTAAAAATCGACAAAAAAATCCTTAAAAAATACAAAAAAATCCAAAAAAAATCCAAAAAAAATCCAAAAAAAATCAAAAAAAAATCCGAAAAATTCCCAAAAAATTCCCAAAATTCCCAAAATTCCCGGAATTGTCCCCAGGAGCGGAATGCCGAGAACGCCATCGAGGCTCTGAAGGAGTACGAGCCCGAGATGGGCAAAGTTTACCCCAAAAATCCAAAAAAAATCCCCCCAAAAAATCCCCTCAAAAAATCCCAGAAAAATCCTAAAAAATCAAAAAAAATCGCAAAAAAATCAAAAATTCAAAAAAATTCCCAAATATCCCAAAAGCCTCCAAAATGTCCTCAAATCCCGCGAAAATGTCAAAAAAAATTTAAAAATCCTTAAAAAATCCTTAAAAAATACAAAAAAATCCAAAAAAAATCCAAAAAAAATCCAAAAAAAATTCTTAAAAAATCCAAAAAAATCCAAAAAAAATAAAAAAAAATCCGAAAAATTCCCAAAAAATTCCCAAAAATTCCCAAATATCCCAAAAGTCTCCAAAATGTCCTCAAATCCCCCAAAAATGTCAAAAAAAATTTAAAAATTGACAAAAAAATCCTTAAAAAATCCTTAAAAAATCCTTAAAAAATCCAAAAAAAATCCAAAAAAAATCCGAAAAATTCCCAAAAAATTCCCAAAAAATTCCCAAAATTCCCAAAATTCCCGGAATTGTCCCCAGGAGCGGAATGCCGAGAACGCCATCGAGGCTCTGAAGGAGTACGAGCCCGAGATGGGCAAAGTTTACCCCAAAAATCCCTCCAAAAATCCCCCCAAAAAATCCCCTCAAAAAATCCCAAAAAAATCCTAAAAAATCAAAAAAAATCCCAAAAAATCCCAAAAATCCCCAAAATTCCCAAATATCCCAAAAGCCTCCAAAATGTCCTCAAATCCCCCGAAAATGTCAAAAAAAATTTAAAAATCCTTAAAAAGATCCTTAAAAAAATACAAAAAAATCCAAAAAAAATCCAAAAAAAATCCAAAAAAAATTCTTAAAAAATCCAAAAAAAATCCGAAAAATTCCCAAAAAATTCCCAAAAATTCCCAAATATCCCAAAAGTCTCCAAAATGTCCTCAAATCCCCCAAAAATGTCGAAAAAAATTTAAAAATCCACCAAAAAAATCCTTAAAAAATACAAAAAAATACAAAAAAAATCCTTAAAAAATCCTTAAAAAATCCAAAAAAAATCCGAAAAAAATCCGAAAAATCCCAAAAAATCCCAAAAATTCCCAAAAATTCCCAAATATCCCAAATGTCTCCAAAATGTCCTCAAATCCCCCGAAAATGTCAAAAAAATTTAAAAATCCACCAAAAAAATCCTTAAAAAATACAAAAAAATACAAAAAAAATCCTTAAAAAATCCAAAAAAATCCAAAAAAAATCAAAAAAAATCCGAAAAATTCCCAAAAAATTCCCCAAAATTCCCAAATATCCCAAAAGTCTCCAAAATGTCCTCAAATCCCCCAAAAATGTCAAAAAAAATTTAAAAATTGACAAAAAAATCCTTAAAAAATACAAAAAAATCCTTAAAAAATCCAAAAAAAATCCAAAAAAAATCCAAAAAAAATCCGAAAAATTCCCAAAAAATTCCCAAAATTCCCA